CAATAACTAATCTTTAACATTCAATCATGCTCCCCTAAAAGTATTGTCACATCATCAACTTGATCATGATCTTAAGTAGTTATATTTATCCCGCTCAAATGCAATATATTGAATAAGCCTAAATGTAAGTATGTAACAAAGGAAAGAACTATGATGGCTACACATTCCATGGACGTGATTAATTTTTATCCCATTGTGATATTATACACACTTATAGTCTTCATAAGTGGTATCAATATTCTAAATCTCTCGAGTAACAGTACTAAGGAAAATAGTATTTATTTCATACTCCAAAAATTTATACCTATGTCTATCACACTTAAATGTAATAAAATGAATGAGCTCACTTGAATGTAAAAAAGGAAATGAAAATGTTTGCTTTATAATCCATGGGTGGAATATATATTTGACATTCTATTAATTTTATTTCTATATTTAATACACTTTGATGTAATAAAAATGAGTGAATTGAATTTTAATAATTGAAAGCAATAGGTGGCTCAACATTCGAGTTTTTTCCCGAACAGAGGTACTTTTCAAACTTATTTCTCGAATATGGGTACTTTTCAATTTATTCCCCAAATGAAGGTACTGTTCGCAATGTCATCATTCCAGCAATTCCACATCATACTAGCTATTCCATGTCATCCCAAGTATTACACGTCATCCAATTTAAGTGTTCAAGGATACTTTTATTGAAAAATTAAAAATCGGAACATCACAAGGAATTGAACCTTCGACTAGCGGCTAATTAAGCATGCCTTTTAATTTGTAGCGATTAACATTAAACTAGTACCTTGGGATGGCATCCATTCTCTTTTTAACATATTTGAATACCGCTTTTAAAGTTCAGGATTGAGCTTCTTCCAAAAAAAGTTCAGGACTGATCTAAGCTCGGCACCAATTTTTTTCCTAATTTTAATTAATAAAGATTTTTTTCTTTAAAAAAAATAAAGATTTTTTTCTTAGATAAACTTCATACAATTGTTTTCATATTAACAAAATTCTATATTTATTGAGGGTGCTAGAGCCTTTCATGTCATTTAGTTATTATAAATTTTAATTAGGTTTTTATTCTTTAATTGAGTATCTCAAATTTACAATTTATTTTATTATATAATTACTTTAGAAAGAAGCATATATCTCTAAATGAACGAGTAATACACAGGAAGGTAAATATTTATGTTCTGGGATTTAAATCTTAGTATTTCAAATTTAACTAAAACATAACATGTAACAATTTAACTCAAATTCGAGCATTTTAATGAATATAATCAATAAAATAGAGGTCGATTATTCAAATTTGTTAAAACGAGACTGTACACCACTTGACGCCTCTGGTGTAGTGGTCATCTCTACAAATGAAAAGGCATGCCTTGCTGCTGTCGAAGGTTCAAAATCTTTCGAATTCCAATTTTCAATTTTTTTTCTTTCAAAAAAGTATCCTTAATTACTTCAATTGGATGAGGTGGAATACTTGGGATGACATGAAATAGTTAACATGATGTGGAATTGCTGGGATGATGACATAGCGAAAAGACGCTCATTTGGGAAATAAGTTTAAAAGTACCCCTATTCGGGAAATAAGTTTGAAAAGTACCCATGTTCGGGAAAAAACTCCTCAACATTCCATCAACATGAATATTCGTCTCTCCAACCACAATTCACAAATTCCCCCCTCCATGTGATGAGAGACAATTTTCCTTCCAATGATAATAATAATAGTAATCATTTACTACTTTATATCTTTTTTTCCGGAATAAGCCTCTCGAGGTGGGGGAGTGCCGGGGAACACTCTCCTATTTTATTAATAATTAACTAAAAGATACAAAAGATAACGGAAAAGCATACAGGGAAAGCAAAGTGTACAACGAAAATAAAGAAAAATTTAGTAGTTGAAATTTTCAGTGGGAATTCCAAGAGTTGCTGAGATATTCTTGTTGTATCTGTTGTGGAATTTAATCACATTCCGAAGATATGGCTGGTAGGTTTTAGCCTGCGAGCGATATGGTCTGTAAAGATTGAGGGTTGCAGCCAATTTGTGTGGTGAGTCAAACCTCTTGTCGACCGAGTAAAGGAAATAATCTGATGCACTTTGAGGTTTATGAGAGTGACTTCTAGTGATCATCTGGTGAGTAGCATATCCAACCTGATAAAATAGTTGTGTGTCCTGTTGGGCTGCGTTTTGGCATTTTGAAGGGCTCTTGTTTGTTGTCCTTCTTCTGGTTACCTCTGTAAAGCCTTCCTGGTAGATCTCCACTTTTAATTTAAGAGATCTAATAATTAGTAAATATTTCTTTCTTGAACTTTAATTGTGACACATAACAACCGCCCAATGAATGATTTAAATTAAACACTCTATTGATTAAGTTTAAAAACGTTTGCTTTAATCTTAATAGTCAGGTAGTTGAAAGTGTTTCCATGTGAGAAGTGTTAATTAATAGCTTTAAACTACTTAAACGTGTCTTGGTCGTTCTTATATTCAAGCATCCATTCTGAATGATTACATTAAGGCATGTGTAGGACTATATGAGTACAACCATATTTGCTTGATGTGTTTCATGTCTCCTGAGCACCATTTATTACACTAAGGAATTCAAATGCAAAATGATAACATGTACAACCAAAGGCACTTTATGCAGGAAGGCTTAAGCTCATGGGCCACTAAATGTGTACAGAAGAATGACAAACACCATAAATAAACGTACAAAAAGAATTGAGATGGCATGGGTCAAAAACCAGAGTAAACTTTCCAGGATTCATTGTGATGAGGTGTTGTTTAAATCAATACCCAACTCCTTCACGATGAGATTCGGCATATTCATGTCTCATAAGTGTCTTGGAGGCAAATAAAAATTAATATCATTAATAACTATGTCTCTCACATAGTAGCCCAAAAAGATTTGAGTTACTACCAATATATTAGTTGAACTTTAATTGCAGATTCAACAATATATTAGTTGGACTCAAATCTTCCTCTACTTGCAGATTCAACAATATATTAGTTGGACTTTAATTGCAGATTTGAGTCCAACTAATATATTGTTGAAATATATTGTTATGCAATTAGAAAAATGCATATTAAGCTTTAAGATTTGAGTTGAATTACATTCTTTCCTTGTGACTTCATTTAGATGATGCAATTTTTTAACACTGCAGCAACAACAAAGGTTTGCCACTCCACCTTAGTTGGACTTCAAGAATTAAACACAATGCCAATGATTTTTTTTAATAAGCCTTCATTCCTTAATAAAAATTCACTTTAACAGTTTTGGAACCAGGTTCAATTTAACAGTTTGCTTTACTGAAATGATTAAATTTGAGCATTTAATAAAATGTCGGACTATTATTCCAATTGTTGAAGACTCAAACGTTAAGGCACACAAAATTTGGTAGATTTATCTTCAATCGAAAAGGGTGTGTCTTTAACCATTATGATGGAAATAGTATTAATAGTATCATCAAGATTCTAAGAGCTTTTGATTTTTTAAAGTTCCAGTTGACCTCTGAGATAGTAAACAACTTTATCATTCCTCTTATCTCATGAATTCAGGTCTTTAAGAGGACTACATTGGTTTCAACTATCTAACAAACTAAGGAGTATTGCATTCTCTAGTGACCCCATAAAAGCCTTAACAACTAAAGAATTAATGAAAATAGTTCTAAGTTAAGAAGAGCAAACTTGCAACTATAACACTGATTTTTCCAGAAAAGTATGCCTAACATGTAAAAAAGCTTTTTAACTGTAAACATAAGGACTGTTAACGAAGTGGAAAATGTTTAAAACTAAAATAGATATAAGTATAAGTATTATATAAGTATAATATATAGGTTTTAGGATGCTTTCAAAATATTGTCGAAATATGATGTTTTATGTGAATGAGATTAAGTTTTTGGATCTGGCACATAACATCTTTGACACATCTTACCTTTTTCGTTTGTTGTGTTAAACTTGTCTCGTATCATGTTTGATTGTTTGGTAAAATTTGAGTGATTATAATTCATTTTTACTTTATTTATATATTATCAATTTAATACTAATTACACAATTACATTTTTCTTAATAACCGCATTATTTCCCTGTGTCCCGGTGTTAAGAAGATGAAGATAGTATCAAATTTGATAATCCTGATCCAGTATTATTTGATTATTAATACTGTATTTAGAATATGCATTCAATCCATTTCAATAGCTTGAAATAAAATAGAGTATTTAGAACTTTTAAAACCCATTATTTAGAACTATCAAATAAGCCATCAAACTTACACAAAAAGTGCAAATAACTGAAATAAGCCCCTTTATAGGAGGCTCTGTCCGGCCGTCGCCATTTGGGGCGGTTCCCTATGGAATTTTTTAATGAATTTTTTTAGCATCTTATTCATTAAGTCTAGTTTACTCATACCAAATTTCAGCTGAATGTTGAATTGAGAAGGCACTCAAATGAATTTTTGAAGCTAACTGCGCAATTAAAGAGCGCAATATATTTCAGAAAATCATTTGACTGCCTTCTCGGTTGAAGTTTTAGCTGAAATTTGGTATGGGTAAACTGAAATTTCCGCCCCAAATGGCAACGGGGTCGGATAGAGATTCTTATAAAATGACTATTTGCACTTTTTATTTAAATTCGAGAGCTTATTTGATAGTTCTCCCTATTGACTTACTCCCTCTTTTCCCGATACAATTTGACGTTTGTTTTTGACACGATATTTTAGGAGCTCAATTAATAGAACAAATGTCTTGTATGTCTTTTGACTTTTAGGGAAAATAATTTCATCCACTCAAATGTAAAAAATGGATGATTAGTGAAGGTAGTTAGGATATTTGTTATAAAAGGAGTTTTCTAAAAAGGAAAACGTAAAAGAATAAATAAAACATCTCAAAAAGAAAAGTAAAAATTTAAATGAGACAGATGGAGTAAAAAATAAAATACTCCCTCCGTCCCTTAAAACTTTACCAACTTTCCTTTTTTGGATGTCTCACTAACTTTGCCATTTTCCGTTTAAAGTAAAGAATTTATGCTTCCACCTAATTCTCTCTCCTCTGAACAAACCTCAATCACACAGTTTTTACTTTATTAATCCTCGTGTCGGTCAAACTTGTCAAAGTTTTAAGGGACGGAGGAATAAAGTACATACAAAAGGTCCTGATTTTTTAATAACGGAATAAATAGGACCAGAGAATAATTACTACTCTCCTTAATTACTCAATTGCTTTGCAAGGAGGTAACGGAGCGCCACACAGGCATGCATTTCCGGCAAACGCACTGGCCGAAAAGTTCGTCGGCGGTAGCTGACCACACAGCCGATTGTGGCTGAGATCCACCTTCTTAAGATCTGCGACGGCCTCTGGAACTTTCCCGAATACCATGTTTCTAGACAAGTCCAACTCCTTCAATTCCACCACATTAAGCCTCAATTTCTCCAAATCAAACTTCAACTTATTCCCAGATGCATAAAACCCTCTCAAAGAATCCGTCATGTTCAGCAATCCCACCGGGCTCCCTGTTATTTCGTTCTCCGACAGATCGATGTAGTTGAAGAACAAATACGACTGCGGCTTCCAATCGTCGAGGTTTATCTTCAGCCCGCATTTTGCCAGCCTCAAGATGAACAGATTCGGAGACGATGTAGCGAAGGCCGGAATGTCCTTCAGGTGAAATTTGTTGTACGACAGATCCAGTGTTTGCGCTCGCGCGACGTTCATCTCCGGGAACGGGTCTTCCAGTGAGTTGTGGGAAAGGATGAGGTCAAATATTGTTGTCAGGTTGAAGAAAGTTCCGGGCACAACGCCGGAGAAATTGTTCCAGGAGAGATCTAGGGTTTCCAGCACCGGGGAGTTTCCGAGAAAATCTGGGATGTTCCCTCTTAAGTTGTTGTGCCCGAGCTCCACAACTATTAACTGGGGCGGTAGACTTGAAACACTGCTCTGGATTTCGCCGGAGAATTTGTTGAAGGACAGTCTGAGTCTCTCGAGGTTGGGAAATAAGGCGAAGAAGTCCGGCAAGGGACCGGAGATTTTGTTCTTCTGCAAGACCAATGTTTTCAGTTGCTTGAGGTTCAGGAGACTGTCCGGAATAGCGCCAGTGAGAAGGTTGCCGCCGAAGTTAAGATCATTCAACTGAGTCAGGTTTCCGATAGAACTCGGTATCGGACCGGTGAACCGGTTCCCTTCGAAACTTAAAGAACGGACTTGGGTTAGTTTGCCAATGGTTTCGGGTATACGACCCGACAACCTGTTATCCACAATGAAAAGCTTTCGGAGCCTCGGAAGCTTGAACAGAAAATCCGGAAAAGGACCCGTCAAATTTTTTAAATACTGAAGTAAAATGCTATCTAGATACTTGAGTTTTGTGAGTGAGGGAGAAATAGTACCTCCCAGAGTTTGATTGAGCTCTTCTTGCCCATAAAAGCCTAGGAAAGTGACTCTATGATGTTTAGATCCACATTGTATACCGGACCATTGACAACAATCGGATCCGGGTACCCACGAGTCAAGGGAACCGGCTGGGTCACTAGTAATACCCGACTTGAACCCGAGAAGACCGGCTTCGTCTTCCGGGTGGCACGGAGCTGCGGTGGCTGCCAGCCAAAGAGAGGAGATGACAGTGAAAGAGAGTAGAAGAAGAGCAGAGGGATGATACATTTTGAAGATGTGTTAATACAATGAAATGGTTCATGGCTTGTTATTTATATTCAAAAGTTGGTCAATATAGGCAGCTGAAATGGGTTGATTGACTAGTCCACAATCTGCTTGCAATTCATAAAAGCATATTATCTGCCTACACGTTTTTCTTCTTCACATGTAAACTTACAAGATTTTTGTCCATATACATAAAGTATGGTTTGTTAGAACTTCGAACATGTTGGATTGAGATTGAAATCCTCCAACTTATGGTACCTTTGGTATATAGGTTTGTTGGGGGTGGGGTGCAAAAAACATTGTATAATTACTGTTGGAAAAATGTGTTAAAAATTGCATTAAATGGTGATTTTGGGGCAATTATTTGAGTGCAGTCCACTTCCGATTTGGGTCGGGTCAAAGTGGTTTAGGATTGTACTTATTAAGAGCTACAATTCCCTATGTGGTACACTCAAAACGGATAACGGATGAATGAGAAATTGATTCTCGAAGTTCACTCGTTGAAATGGAAAAATTGGGAAAATGATGGGTTTCTAGTGTGTTTTATCCCACGTAGGAAAACTCAAGGGATTTTCACCCCCTTATAAAGGGAAGCCTCTTTTAAGGAGTTAAGATTCCTAAAGGTAAAGGCTCTCTCTTACGCGCTGGGGGTGCCGATCAAATCCTGAAACGGAGAAGAAAAACCTCTTCTCATATTTTCCATACGCTTTAGGCTTAATCTATACTCTACTACATCTTCATCAATTATACGAAGTACTATCTAGTATCTACACGTTCTCAATGTATTAATATTCAATTATTCTCTAATTTATTATTACTGGTTTTATTCATAATTTAGCACTGGTCTACATAAACGCGTAGAGCAAAAGAAAAGTTATAGGCAATGTCCACAAACAAAACTCATGTAGAGCCCGTTTGGTAACACGAAAATCGGCCGATTCGGTTGAAATTTATGAAGTTCTGGCTGAAGTGGTTGTATTGGCTGATTTTGCTGAATTAAGAAAAAAATATTTTTAAAATACGGAGTATATTTTATTAATACAATAATGAAAAAATTATAAGTAAAAAACTAGCACAGCACCCGTGCATATGCACGGGAAACAGTTACTCCTTATATATTTATGTTCATGATCTAATTAAATATAAAAATGTTTTTTTAGAATTCTATATCATTTAAAAATGGAGTACAATAAGTTAATATCAAAAAGTATAAATCCATACCACAAATATTCAAAGTAAAAGAAAATTAAAGTAAAAAAATCAACACTATCCATTAGAATTTGATACGTAATAATTAGAATTGTTCGCAACAAATAATAAAATATTGAACTTAATTGTTATAGTTTTGAAAAACTGCTTTAAAGAGAACTTTTAACATCTAGTGCTTTTCTCTTCTTATAATGTATTAATAAAATCATCAATCCATATTTTCTCCCTCGATAACGCCATACATATAAAGCTTTACATGACTAAAATATGTATAGGTAGAAAAAATTTCCTTTTTCCAGTGATAGAGCTAGAACTTTATTGATTGGCATCACATATGTAACAATTATAGAAAAATGTCTTCACATAAGCTTAAAAGGTCTTGAGATGGAAAATATGAGAGAGGAAATTCTCCCGATCAGTTATTATTTGCTTATCTTATACCTAAAACACCACATATGAAAAAGAAAATTTCTCCACTCAATTATTAGTCTGCCAACCTTATATTTAAAAGCACTACATATGAGAGTAAATTTTCCACCTCAATTATTAATACGCTTATCCTATCTTATACCTAAAAACACTACATATGAGAGATAAGATTTTTTCACTCAACTATTATCAATCTGGTTATCTTCTTATACATAAAAGCACTACATATGAGACAGAAAATATTCAGGTCAATTATTAGTCTGCTTATCTTATCTTATACCAAAAAACACTACAAATGAGAGAGAAAATTTTCTCGTTCAATTATTAGTTCGCTTATCATATATCTAAAAATACTAAATATGAGAGAGAGAATTCCCCCGCTCAATTATTAGTCTGTCTACCTTATACTTAAAAGTAATACATATGAGAGAGAAAATTTTCCCGGTTAATTATTAATCCGCTTATATTATACGTAAAAGCACTTCATATGAGAGAAAATTTTTTCGCTGCATTATTAGCCCGCTTATCTTATAGCAAAAAGCACTACATACACGTAAGAGAGAAAATTCTTTCGCTCAATTATTTGTCCGATTATCTTATCTTATACCAAAAAACCGCACTACACGTGAGAGAGAAAATTCTCCCGTTCATTTATTTGTCGGCTTATCTTATACGGAGTATCTAAGAGTAATGCGTATGAAAGATAGAATTCTCCCGCTCAATTATTAGTCTGCTTATTTTATTCATAAGAATACTACATATCAGAGAGAAAATTCTCATGTTCAATTATTAATTCGCTTATGCTATACCTAAAAACATTATATATCAGAGACGGAATTCGCTCGTTCAATTGTTAGTCTGTTTATCTTTTCTTATACCACTGCATATATGAGAGAAAATGTCCCCGCTCAAAAATATATCAAATTTCATATTTTTTATTATCTTTCATATGACACTAATATTGTATATATAAATATATAAATAATAATTTAACTCTTTAATAAAACTCATGTTTTATAATGTTATAACTTTTTCATTTGTCCAGTTTACGATCATTTTTTCGTGCACATTAATCTAGAGTGATAGGTTAGAGTAAAATTGCAAAATTTCCAGTGCAAAGAATAAAATCATAAATAAAAGTGATAGAATTTGTGCGGTTTTATTATAAGTTATCGTTTCAGATTAATAGTGCGCACGGTAAAAAAAGATCATAAACTGCATACATTAATAGAATTTATATTTTTTTATTTATATACTTCCTCTGTTTCTTAAAACATTGTAAAGTTTGATCGGTATAGAAAATAATAAAGCAAAAAACTGTGTAATTGAAAGTTGTGCGGAGGAGAGAGAAATAAAAAAATCACAAATCAATTGATTAGAAGAGAAAATGGAATTTTTTTGGGACAATAGAAAGAGAAACGATTATTTATTTTCTCTTCTAATCAATTGATTTGAAATTTCTTTTATTTCTCTCCTCCGCACAACTTTCAATTACACAGTTTTTTATTTTATTATTCTCTATGCCGATCAAACTTGACAATGTTTTAAGAGACAGAGGAAGTATATAAAAAAAAAATATAAATTCTATTAATGTATGCATTGTATTTTCTTTTTTTACCGTGCGCACTATTAATCTGAAGCGATAACTTATAATAAAATTGCACATTTTCTATCACTTTCATTTATTATTTTATTCTTTGCACTGGAAATTTTGCAATTTTACTCTAAGCTATCACTCTAGATTAATAGTGTGCACGAAAAAAATGATGGTAATCTGGACAAATGAAAAAGTTATACCACTATAAAACATGAGTTTTATTAAAGAGTTAAATTATTATTTATATATTTATATATACAATATTGGTGTTATCTATTTATATATAAGAAAAGAAATAGCTCTTTAAAATACAATTATGCCCTTAATAAATCCTATGTGTCATTTTTTTTATTTTTTTATTATCAATATGAAAGATAATAAAAAAATAAGAAATTTGATATGATTTTTGTGACAATCAGATTACAAATAAAAAAGATGTAGTACTTCAAAAAATTAAGGGATTTTATTTGATTGAGAGCTATCATTTGTTTTAAGAATTTTAATTTATTTAGTAATAAAGAGGTGAGAAGCACGGTTGAATTCATTTTGGTGAGTTAGTTTAGAAAGCCACATGACATTTTTATAGGAAATGAGCAAATTGTGGAGAGATTGACACATATGATTTATGAAGGGCATAATTGTATTTTAATGAGCTATTTCTTTTCTTATATATAAATAGAAGCTAAAATGGTCATCTACAGTAACTTCAGCCAATACAACCAAAAAAGTAACTTCAACCTTACTTTTTTTTATTACACAATTCAACGCACGAAAATAAAAGTTATGTGTTTGGTGAAAAAGTTGGCCTCAAAATATAAACCACTTAGATCTATAATACTCCGTAATAAAATAAAGGGGTGTTTGGAACTAATTATGCTTCTGCTTCCTTTTTAAAGCAGAAGCAGAATCAGAATTAGTTTTCAGAAGCTGGTACCCCCCCAGCTTCTAAAAAAACTGATTCTAGGAGTAAATTAGAGCACCAGAATCACTTCTGCATTTTCACCCAAACACTCCAATTTCTGCTTCTGCTCCCTGATTGAGCAGAAGCAGTTTTAAGAATCAGATCCAAACACCCCTAAGCAAACTAGCTTTTATACTGATGAATCAAATAGCAAGTGGTCAACGTCTTTCATGGCCCTCAACCTAATTAGCCAAGTCAGAGAAGTCAGCCCCGGTTAAACTTGACCGATACCATGTGTAACCAATAATAAATAAATAAATTATTGATTAGGGACATTGTAACCAATATAAATAATCATACTCATAATTTATTCAATGAGTTTTGTTTGTGGACATTGCCTATAACTTTTCTTTTGCTATACTGAACATAAAACAGTTGCCCACAGCACACACTTGTTTGTTTGTCCCATTGGTGATTGAGGAGTTGTTTACTAATGACCACTACAAACCTTTTGGTCTTCTCACAGGGAGGATCTACCTATGAGTTATGTTGTGCTTAAGCCAAAACTATTATAAGTCTATTATAATCACTCTTCAGCCCCAAGGCATGCCAGATTTCTGGATATGCCCGTGTTCTCAAACGATCTTTAATTGAGAGAGATGAGGAGCGATAATTCTCTTTAAGTCCAATGAAAAAGACAATGTACTGAAGCATAACTACGTTCCTCAAGAAGAAGATAATGATCACAAGTTGGCCATGCTTCAGAGATACACAAAGTCTGTCAAGTGGGATAAGTTTAATGTAAGGAAAGACATGAGCAAAGGTCGAAGAGGATAGTTACAACAATAAACGTACTGCGAGTATAGAGAACCTCGACGGTAGAAGTATGAATGTTCACAAATAAAGAGAAGTGAAGGTTAATGAGAAAAGAAAGAAAAAATAGACAAAACTCTTCAAATCACTTAAGATGATCACAGTGTTTTGATAATCTAAAGAAGGGACACACATGTCTATTAAATAGAAATTTGAAACTCCAAGACGAATTTTATATTTTGAAGAAAGACCAAAATGAGTATTTTAAGATATATTCGGATTTAAGACTATTGTAAAGATGTTTGGGACAGTAATGGGACTCTTAGTATCCAATGATTGAATCACATATATGGTCTCAGATAAAAATATAACATAAATAAGGCTCAGCTTCCAAATCAAAATCTTTTAAGGCT